AGGGGAGGGGGGGCATCTGAGCGTCTCGCCTTCCCTCGCGGATTCTAGAGGGTACTAGCCATGGTAGGGGGTCATGGGGGGCCTTCACTGGAAAATTTTCTAATCCACGAAGCCGGACAATACATCTAACGCGGTTTTGGCAGTGAAAGTAGAATGAATTTTTCATTTTCTATGGCCCGAGGGGTGACGGAGGACTAAATACCTCACTGATGGAAATACTGGATTTTTATCCAGTAAGGCATGAATGTTGAATAAAAACGTTAACAAAAGAATTTCTTGTAAGAAAACAAAACGGAAAATTATTATTCAAATGTTAGTAAGATACGCAGATTCTGGAAAACAACATGTTTTTGTCTAGGGTTCGATAATTAACTCAAATCAATGAAAAAAAACCATTGTCATTCATTTCTATCAATAGTGTTACTAAGATAAATTCAATGGCTACCAATTATTTTTTTTATTTCTTCAGAGACTCTGTTTGTGATTACAATTTTCTCACTATTGTTGATAAGTTAAACAATTGATTCATCCAGTAAAATGTACTTTATATGTGCTGAAGAGATAAGAGAAGCACATCGAAACGTTGCATTAAACTTTAACCAGTGATTGTTGTCCCTTGAAGCTTTGTCTATATATAGTCTCTTTACTTTGCTCAGTGCAGACTTAGTATTTCTGAAATTACAGACAAACTAAGCGTCGAATTTTGTGTATGAAATGTGTCACGAAGAGCTCAAATTGAGCTTTTTCTAGTGCAAATATTTAAACGACAAGAACCTTGATTATCAATTGAGCTCTATCCCCTTAATCTTAATCTTAATCTAATAGGCCTACTTGAGCTCTGTCAGCTGGAACGGCAAATATTTGCACGACAGTATCCCTTTCAGTTTAAATTTGTTTGACTATTTGTAACTAAGAAATTGTAAATGGAAGGCTCTCTTCATTTTAAGTAGAATATAATTATTAAAGTGTATCGATCCACTCCATTTATTTAGATACTCTCTTGTTTTGATTGATCTTCTCTTATGCATTGTTTAGAGTTGGGCGATATGACGATATTATCGTAAAAACCGGTACGATATGGCATTTTTCCTGTACCGATAATATCGTGACGATATTGTGATAATCGGGAATGATATCACAATGTGCATTATATGCATATCAATTAGAATGCAACGCTAAATACCTTTGATAGACGAAAGTTTAACTGTGTCTGATTGAGCCATCAGCCTCATGACCAACTTGTTTGGCTTACTTTGCCATGTCAGCATCAAAATTTGACATTATGTCCTGGATCTTGGGCCTCGTGCATCAGTTTTCAAATACATTTAAGCAGAAACAATAAACGAGATACTTTATAGCGTTACACAGAGTTTATTTTCTGGAAATATTCTGTATCACGATATTTGAACTTATCGTGATGAAAAATATATTCTATATCACGATATTTGAACTTATATCGTAATAAACAAAAAATATCATATCGCCAAACACTAAATCAGATGCAGAAGAGAGTCGGATGTAACATTGTATATGGGCTATGCTAGACAATAAAAATTTATTTCGTAACCGAAGTCACCTATCGATTTTGGAATGACATGTTATTTTAATGATAGACACATTAAAGCAATAAATTTCAAGTACATCTTAAGATAGACAATAAATTTGATTTTAAATTGTTCAACACAATATTGCTCTTTAAATAATGTACAAAGTCCTATTTAAATACAATGCTAAACCTTATGTGATATTTTCAGACTTGTTTTATAGTTTCACAATATGTCTGGATCGTTTCCAGATTTATAAAAGGAATAGTTTTTTTATAATGTCTCTTTATACATTTATAAGACAGTTAAAACCACGCGTTCTGTAAGCTTACGTAAGTTATTAACAAGGGCAAGTGTTTGCGAGTTTTTAAGTCGTCTTAATAAGACTTTAATCGAGTTATTGATCACTTTTTAGAATTGAAAAACCGATGTGTGGTTCATCTACAATTAAAGGAAACTGTTGATGTAGAAGTGACGATCATTCACAAACTTGTGAGTTTTATGAATAAAGTTGTCTAAATATTCCCAAGCGATAGAGCATGATTTCATATATCTGTAAATCCGTTCAGAATGAAATTTCGGCGTATGGTTAATCTTCAATTTAATAAAACGTAGGAGTAGAAATAGTTTACTGAATTTGAGAGCCGTAAAAGAATATTGTCGTCTTGCTAGAATTTAGCATGATATACATAACGCTTCAGAATTAAGATCTGGCACACTGTTGGTTTACAATTAAAGGAAAACCAATAAGCGGAAGTGACGAAACATTTAGCAAACCAATCCTTCTATTACGTCATTATATCAATAAAATCAGCAAAGGGACAAATAATGCATAAAAACGAGAATTTCTTTAAAATATTGATTTAAGACAACGATGATCTTTTTTTACCTACATGATAGAGTTAAATGGTCGACTTTTCCTGGGGCAAAACGGATCGAAAAATATTGATTTTTGAAGAAAAATATTATATATTGCTCAAAATCTGCTTATCGATGGAGCAATTATTTGTTTAAAATCTCTAATATTCTTCCTGATTAGACTTAAGCTTCCTGTCTCGAAGACATCAAAATTAGATATCACACGTCTTTAAGGAATAAAAATCCATCGCTGCATCATGGTATCGATCCCATTATTTCTTGCTGTTTTTTTTTCCCTTCAACTTAAAAGCAATGGCGTGGTTCTAGGGTGGGACCAGGGGCAGCGGCATATTTAGGGTGTGTGTGGGGGGAGGGTCAATAGGTCATGACCCTTATTTCGAAGGGAAAATTAAGCCCTTAAATGCTCAAAATTTGTTGTCTTCATCGGGACCCTGGCAGCCTTCCACCACCCGCTCTCAAGAGGCTTCGGTCTCGCCTTCGAGACACCTATTTTTGTGCCCCTCGGGCATTTTTATAGTACGCCCCCTCCCTTTAAGATTTAGGCCTTTTCCCCAGTCTCAAATTAATTATCTTTTAGTTTAAAGGATACCCGGTAGCCTGACGCTTCCAACTTATGTTTCATAGAAAGTCCACTGGAAATACTCCAAATATTATTGTGAATTGTATATTATTATGATAATTTCGGTGTATTTGACACTTCTCACACTTCCCCAGACTTAGGTGTGGTTTCTGATAAATGGCCTACTTCATCTTATTCGTCATCAAGTACAAACTAGAAATCATTTTAAAGATGGGTTCCCTTATGAAAATGAAAAGGGAATACTTATAAGAATAGAAAGTATAGGTGTTCTAATGACTTGGAAAAATACCAGTTTGTCCTACAAACTAATTCATAATTCATAATTAGCTAAATTAGAAGAGAATTACCAGCAGAATTCCAATGAGTGACCGATCAAGAAAGGTCAAAATGTCTTTTTTTGTTTATCCAGACTGTACATGGACATTTATGATTGGTTAAAACTCTCAATTATATGCAATAAGAACATAATGATTTGATTAAGAATACATGATAATTCATTGGAAACATCAATTTATCAAATAGTTTGCTCAATTTGACACTAAAAAAATAAGGAAACCCATCTTTAAGTTCAAGAGAATCTATTGATAAGAGGGAGAAGTAAATGTGAAAATTATTGAAAGCAAACAAACAGACAAAATAAAAGACAAACACAACTGCAGCGCTTCCCATACAGAAGTGGGACAATAACAAAAGTGCAGAGCTTCCCATACAATAGTCCGGCAATAACAAACGTGTAATGCTTCCCATGCTTTAGTCCGTTAAATACAAAAGTGCAGCATCTCCTATGCAATAGCCTGTCAATAATAAAAGTGCAGAGCTTCCCATACAGTATTTCGTCAAAAACAAAAGTGCAGAGCTTCCCATACTGAAGTCCGTCAATAACAAAAGTGCAGAGCTTCCCATACAGTAGTCCGTCAATAACAAAAGTGCAGAGCTTCCCATACAGTAGTCCGTCAATAACAAAAGTGCAGAGCTTCCCATACTGTAGACAGTCAATAACAAAAGTGCAGAGCTTCCCATACTGTAAACCGTCAATAACAAAAGTGCAGAGCTTCCCATACAGTAGATCGTCAATAACAAAAGTGCAGAGCTTCCCATACAGTAGTCCGTCAATAACAAAAGTGCAGCGCCTCTCATATAATAATCCGTCAATAACAAAAGTACAACGCTTTCTGCTTCACACGGACGTGGCTTTTTTTAAAAAAAAAAAATGAAATCTGAACTTCGCTTTTGTTTAGAATTATAAAGCGTCATCAGATTTCTAATTATCACAACAGGTTATTATGAAGAAGTTGAGCATTAAGGTTGGATGTGATAATTATCACAAAGTAATAATAGAAGTGAGTGATAAAAATATTAAACCACCGATAAATATCATAATCTTGACAGAGCTGAACGTGATAATAAGAAATCGATACCACAAGAATATACTTATTGTATATATTTTGAGGTTCAATCCCAGCACACAGCGAAATCATATCTTCGGGTTTTCACGGTTTTTCAACCCAGTTTCCACTTGTCGGTGATGCAGGTTATAGGGTCATGGACGGTCGTCGAATATGTTGACAATACTATGTAATATGCGATATTGTTTAAGCCGTTAATACAAATAGAAAGACCTTATTTGCCATAGTTTTCAGTTTTAAAGATGGGTTCCCTTATTTTCTTTTATGAAAATAACAATTCTAAAACTGATATGAATATAAAGTAGAGGTGTTCTAATGACTTGGAAAAATACCAGTTTGTCTCACATGTCCATAATTACTTCATAATTAGAAGAGAATTACCAGCAGTATTCCAATGAATGACCGATCAAGAAAGATCAAAAAGTCTTTTTTGCTTATCTAGACTGTTCATGGACATTTATGATTGGTTAAAACTTTGTGCAATTAGAACATAATGATAGGTTTAAGAATACATGATAAGAAGACAACTTTAACTCTGAGTTCAGACTATAGATATTTGAGCAACTATTATATATATAAATTATACCAAACAAATAAGCGTATAGTCATTTATTAGAGTCTCTATGTGTTGGAATGGCATCAAGTGCTTGGTTACTAATCGTGGTCATGGGTTCTAAACTCTGTCGGCATGTGACCATGAAAAGGCACCTTTCCTCAGTATTCTAGTCGACTCAGCTTTTGAATGGGAAAGATCAAAGCCACGAGGTTTGTTTGTTAAAAGACCAGCTGGTAGAAAGGATACATGAATGGGGGACCAACAACCAATCGTTGTTCTATGTGAACTGAAGTTGTTATCCTTGTTTGTTAATCTCGAGAATATTATATAATATCTGTGAGAATTCAGAAGCCTTTAACGCTAATGAAATGGATGTCATTCACTATCATGTGTTATTATTCTAGTTTATAACAACTAATATATACGATGTACCGTCTCTCAATAGAGACTTCATTAGCTCTTAGATTACCACCGGAACAGCTCGAAACACGGTGAATGGTAAACACCATCAATAACACAACCCTTCATCGTTCAGTGAGTTTTCTGTTGTTTCTACTGAGTCGTGGTATATCAATATGTACTAAAGGAAAGACTAATATAAAAGAAGACAGAACGCATGAATGGTATAAAGCCAGTTTAAATATATGACAGTATTTGCCGCTTCGGACAATCTGGTATTGGAATGAAATTGGATTTTACGTACGTTTTCTGGTTCTGATTTTGCTCTGAGGACGGGATGAGTTTCCTTGTGGTGTTAAAGAAATATTGATTATATTCCCATTTATTTCTGTGATTTGTGTTTTTATTTGAGAAAGGCTTTTGTATCTAAGAAGACAACGCAAAAGACTTCTGAACACTTGCATTGGACGCTCACGATTGTAAGTATGGGTTTTGAGGCCTATACTAACTTTAAATTGGACTAGTATGTTGTATTTCCAATTTATTTCAATGTCTTTGCGTATGGTTTTGGAAACTTGTAATTACTTTCTTTTGGACTATGCGTATGGTTTTAAAAATGGCATGAATGGAGTTTTACGTCTTACACTGTCGTATGGTTTTGAGTCGTATCAGAACTTATAACTAGAACAGCATGCTATATTTCCAATTCATGTTTTCAAGACTATCAATTTTTGTGTGATTTAAAAATGAAATATAATTGGAATTTACGTCCAACGTGCTTTCGAAGACGATGTGCGGTTTTGGAAACTTTGACATACCATACGTGAGAGAAACCTCAACAGTACCAGACTGTAATAACAAACAGACAATATTTTATCGTATAGTGATATACTGTAATGGACAATCTGGAAGAAGAAACTATTGACCATAGACTGTAATGAAATTAAATGGATTCATTGACGTCGGATTTCATTTCATAGTATATATGATTTGTTGCAATGAAAATAATTCATTTGTAACAGTCTTTGACTAACAAACTATCTGCTTTTGTAGTTTTAAAAAAAATTCAGTATTGACAATGGAGAATTGGACGGTGTTTCCCGCTGATGAAACGTTCGAGAATTCCAGGCCGTTGGTGGAACGGATATTCGAAATGCTGATACTGACAATTATTCTGATCATCTCCGTTTTCGGCAACGGCTGCATCTGTTACTTGATCCTCAGAGACCCTAGACTAAAACGTGCGTCTTATATCTATATTTTCAATTTGGCCATTACGGATTTTGGGCTGTCGGTGACCAGCGTTCCGATCTCCATTGCGGTATCATACCATGATAAGTTTGTATTCAGTTATATTATCTGTGAATTTAATGGTCTGATTATGCTGATTTTTGGAATTGCCTCGCTGATAAATTTAGCTGTTATAGCTGTCACACGTTACGTCTGCGTCTGTCACTCCACATTCGCTAAAACGTATTTGAATAAAACGTTTTATATAGGTAAGTTTTACTTTTTGTACTTACTTACTCTTTTACTTAGCGTATTAACATTTTTAGATTTTTCAGCCAGGTCCCCCATGTCAGTGATGCTAGCAAGAGAGACTGACATTGAAAAGGGATCTAATTGCTCGGATGGGACAAAAAATTGGCAAAAGTTACCTCATTGCACACTTATCTTTCTACTTAAGACCCCCACCTATTGTTGCTACCATCCAAGACCCCCACCCATTGTTGCTATCATCCAAGACCCCCACCCGTTGTTGCTACCAACCAAGCCCCCCACCCATTTTGCTTGCTACCATCCAAGACCCCCACCCATTATTGCTACCATCCAAGACCCCCACCCATTATTGCTTCCATCCAAGACCCCCACCCATTATTGCTACCATCCAAGACCCCCACCCATTGTTGCTCCCATCCAATACCCCACCTATTGTTGTTACCATCCAAGACCCCCACCCATTGTTGCTACCACTCAAGACCCCACCCATTGTTGCTACCATCCAAGACCCCCACCCATTATTCCTGTAATTGGGACAAACAGGCTTCAGTAAGCAGGGTGTTATATATTAACCATATTTAGTCTGAATATAAACTTCAATTAAAAGGTATTATGAAATATAATGATAGTGTTTTGTGTTGATGATTATAACGCAACATAAATCCCAAAGTGTCGTATATTTTTCTCCGATCTTGAGGAATACAGTCCTGATAAGGATTGATTATCAACAACACGTTTCGGCAGTATGAGAATACTTAGCTCTGGTCAATGAGACCATGCTAGAAACATGCAAGTTTCTTGATGCCTTAAACCTATTGGTAAAGGTCTGATCTTCTAGTAGAGCCTAGCTGTTGACCAAATTTATAACTTTATCGATTTAAGTTAGCTATTCGTGCGAAGATGTAACAACTAAAAATTATTTGGATGAGTTTCTTGACGCCCTGGGCCTATTGGTATAGGTCTGATCCTCTAACCTCTGGGCACAGTTATAAACAGTTGCAATGGTGGCATTACTTTCTTGGTGCCCTACAAAATCTGCCAAATGTTTGATCGCCTAGCTTCTGACCACATTTAAAACTTGATCAATTTGTGTTATCTATTCGCACGGAGAGATAACTACAATTGCATTGGTGGCATTACTTTCTTGGAGCCTGTTATCTATTCGCACGGAGAGATAAGTACGATTACAATTGGCATTTTTTGATGCCCTGGATGTATCGGTGAAGGCCTGGTCGATTGACTTGACGAAAACAATTTAAAGTCATTGATTTCAGATAGTTCTTTAAATTGCCGTATATTTAACGGAAACAACAATTTCTTGTTACCTTTTTATACCAAGATAACAAAGATGAGATTGTAATCGATATGATCGATACGCAGTGATAGGAAAACAATATTGTTTATTGGTTACTCCCCGATAATTGGCACTAATTCAATATAATTGAAGTCAGACATCCTGTTAAAGTCAATTTTATGAACTACAGTATTTTATTTATGACAAGACTAATAATAATGATTTAAATGAAAAAAATGAAAAAAGTAAATCACACATATTGATTTTCGTGATTTATCTCTTAAGGAATCATTGCTGGCCATTTCTTTCTTCAGTAGTACCCCTTAGCACTGAGCACAGGACGTACACATTACAGATCCATTTGGAATACGAACCTAAGTAGGCAAGGACCATTGTCATATCATATCATATCATTTCATATCGAGCTCATTAATGTTCGTATTGTCAGTGTCGGTATACTGGTCGAAAGGTCTCAAGATCCTTGTTCACAAACTGTTCTTCGACAAAGGTCAATGATCTTTCGTAAATGTGTGTCCATTTACAGCCGTGTCGTCTTGGGTACACAAAAGTAGGACCACGGTTAATTTATTTTACTTTTCCATTTCAGGTTCCGTGATCAGTATTTGGGTAGCATCTCTCCTGATTGCCTTTCCACCTGCTGTAGGCTGGGGTCACATCGAATTTGTGTACGGATATACAGCTTGTACCCACTACTGGCCATCCAGTCTATCATATACCCTGTTTCTGATAACTTCGGCTGTGTTCATCCCCTTTGGAATCATCATCATCAGCTATGGCTTGTTGTTTTGGTGCGTCAGGAAAAGCAATCTAAGAGTACGGGACCACATGGAACAGAGTGCTTTCAAACGATCCGATTTAAAACTGGCCAAAGTATCCTTGAGTGTTTTTGTCTCTTTCATGATCTGCTGGGTTCCCATCTCTGTGACCAACTTTTTGCTGCTGGCTGGGTACCAGGTACCCAATGCTTGGAACATGTTTGCCATCATCTTGATGTATTCAAACAGCTTGTGTAATCCTGTCATCTATTCGTTGATGTCTTCAGATTTTCGAAATGGATTTCGACGTGTATTTTGCGGCTGCTTAAAACCATCTTCAAATTCTGCTTCGATGGACTGTACACTTAACTAATAGAGAGATCCAGATATGTCCAATTTCTATTATAATCGAACAAGTTTTCTTTCACAGTCCCGTTCTAATGAAGTCATTTAAGATCCAACCCAAGCTTTCCTTGATAACAGTAACGAATGGAGTGATAGCAAAACCCAAAGTCAAGCACCCAAATTAAACGGATTATAATTTTTTTTTTATGTGTATCGGGTCCACTAGTAGCTAATAAAAAACCCCTTTGCAACCCCTTTAAGATCTAGGTCAGTGGAAACTGGCTGATTATGCAAAATCAAATCCTGTTTTTATATTAGCTTCTCGGTTGAGACAATTTGCCACCCACTCCTTTCAGAAGGCCGGATGCTTCTTACCACGTCTATCACTACGTTAATTACGAAAACATGTCATGTATTTAAAACTCGCCGATTCGAATCATTGGTATTTTGATAAACATACAACCCACGTATAATATAATTACGGAATTTCCAGTGCACCAGAAACCAAAACGCCCACTCGAAAAGTTTAGCATACCAACAATTAATCCAGCCGAACCGGAAGTTAAGAATTTTTGAACCGGGCGAACCGGATGTTGAAGACTTTTTTTCATTGGACGCCAACAGCATCGATTAGCACTATTCCAATTTTCAATCAATTGTTAGACGTCTTAAAGTTTAATTCTTGCATTCCCACTCATGACGTCATATACGGTTAAACATTTCTATAATTCCAGGAACCACAAACGGAAACATGGAATAATGCAAATAGAATGACACTAATACACATAAAAAAATTTAAGAAAATTATTTTTTAAAACACCGTAAATACTCATAAAAAGGACCATTCATTCATCCGGTCATACCGGAAGTTCAGAATTGTTTAAAACCGAACCATTCGTCCGGTACAACTAGGTGATAATTGTATACAAACCACTCCTTCAATCTGACAAAAATTACAATCGTGCGTTATTGATGTTATTGTTTGGCCTAATCGATAATCTTTACACCGGAAACCAAGGATATTTATTTCATTCGAGCTTATTTCACGCCGACCTGTCTTTCGGATATTAAATCATCTTCTGCGCAACTGGTCTCGAAATGTTGGTTTTACGGATCAATCCTCTAAAAGTCCATAGTTTCAGTTCAATGAAAGTAGGTGAGGTGATCGGCTGATCATTGATGTATTACCATAGCTAATTTTCCCGCAATTTCCAGCTTCTGGTTGAAGCGATTAGAGTTTTGTCAAGGCCTGGTGGTAGCACTATGTAATTTCGCAAATCAGTATCGGCGTCTTAGTAATTCGTTTTTGCTTGTAGTTGTTGTGCGAAAGAAGCTAGTGATTACAAATTAGACCGAAACATCTGCCTCTATTCCAGCCTCTGATAGCTATGTTGACAGTTATCGGCTGGAAGAGCCAATCAAGATATCTACCAGAAGCTGGGGTAGAGGCAGATCGGACTAATTAAACATTAAACAATTGAAACTATCGGCCTCAAGGATCAAAGATAAATAAGATATCATGTACACGTTTGATGATATTAAATGTCAGATGATATCAATTATGAATGTTGATTTATATTTTGTATATTGTATTCTCTGTATGTTCTTATATTGATGCCAAATGTCAACAAAGTTATACAAATACTTGTTTCCAACTGATCTTATTATTACTTATCCCCAATTTCGGGTGACGCTTTGTTGCTCCCTTGCTCACCATAGAGCGAATTCTTGATTCCAAAATACTGAATTCAAACAGATATCTTACCGTTGAAAAACATTTTCCTCGAGGCTTCTCGGGTAATAACATAAAATTATGGAGGAGACAGTTTTTTCAGGCTGAAGTCTGGGGACCTTTACTGGCGCTGAGAACGACATGATTAAATATTCATTTGATCACTTCAAATGTTTTGTGGAGGTATTCTCTACGTAATTGTAGGGTATTGCTAGCCCAATTATCTACTGCAACTCCCATCAGATCTGAAAATTAATAAAAGGTCCTGATACAGGTATTATATCAGAAACGTGTCAACAAATAAGATGAGTTCTAGTGAAATCGACCCGGTGTATGTATATTTAGCGAACATTATATCGTAATTGGATATAACACGAAATCTCTGCATGCTGTATGAACAATACAAGCTGATAAATATGATTAAACTGAAATGTCAAGGTATAATAAAGAATTCTAGGCTTTGTCTATGATATTTATTAAAAAAACAAGATTAGAATCTGTTTCTTTTCAATAGAATGTCATAGTGACCTTTTGACACACATGCGATCAGGGTATATTAAGGTCAAGATATGGAAAAAACAGTAATTCGAGCGCGGCTCTCTGGTGAACTTTTCATAGTGCTAAATTAGATAAATTCCCAGTCGTTTTCGTGTATCTTGTGAATGCTTACTCTTCTAGACACCTGATACCACTCTTTTCGTTATGAAATATTTACTTATCTATGATTGATATACATCCTGATGTGGAAAGTTCATTAGCTGCTACCAATGTTTCGCCAATATGTTGTTTGAATTTGGGTTGGGGTTTTGGGGAAGGTACTGGCAATTAAGAACTCATTGAAGTGGAAGCCAAATCAGGGCCAGCCTTCTTTTTACGGGGAACATGGCAATCCCAAGATGAATATGGTTCGTCGGTTTTATGGCCAATTCCACGTATCACTGTTTCAAGGGAAACTGGGTCGAAACACTCGAAGGTCAAGCAGTAAGTTTGGATCTTCAATGTTGGACCGTTAACCACCAATAAAATATCTGTTATCTCCCTTAGAACAGTTGATATTGGTGGCTGAAAGGAAATTTCATCTGTCCCTTTAAGTTCCATTAAGGGATGTAACATCTCCAGAGTCAGCGTATTAACTTTTCAGACAACCCTCGTAATTGCAAGAGATGTTAAATATTGTTATAACGGGACTCTCGCTTAGAAACGCTTTGCTAACGGAAAGCAACAGCATTTTACAACCACTAAGCGCTTCGAATCCCCCGACTTACACAGATCTCAGGGATAATAACAAGTAATAAGATTTACAAGAAATATTTTGACCTTGTGACCTTATCAAGATTTATTTTCTCAAAATAACGGAAGGGTTTAGAATGTTGATATGACCGACTGAAGTCGTGCAATAATTGTGCTTTATAAACGTTTTATTTCTCGAGGGGTTAACACAGAGTCAAAGATCAGTGACAATAATTGAATTTTGCTCGACTGAAAATCAAATTTGATGCTAGGGTTAATTTAATCTGCGCTCAAAACGACATTTAAATGGGAAGTTAATCTAGATCAACCCTTGCAATTAGGAAGAGAGTTTAAACATCCCTAGTTGAATATACACGCTATATATCGTGATTCGACTGAAATATTTATACCTTAGCGGTGTTTCTGTAATCATTAGGCCCAGTAAGGACCACGGAAGTGTCAGGTGGGACTCATAGCATCGGTTATTAAAAACCTAGTCATAAAAGCCGAGCATATCCCCCCTCAGAACTGCCACTTCATCTCATAGCACCGAATCTTAAACTGTCATAACTGGCGATTTTTCAGTCGTCCGTGTGCTGACAGGTTAGCCAAGATGCCAGTTGCGAGTCAATCGTTGAAAACCCTGTTTCTCTCAGATATTAACAGCCACAGGAGCTACCTGAACCCTAGGAGCTACCTGAACTCTGGGAAATACCTGAACCTTAGGAGCCACCCGAACCCTAGGAGCTACCTGAACCCTAGGAGCTACCCGAACCCTAGGGGCTACCTGAACCCTAGGAGCTACCCGAACCCTAGAAAATATCTGAACCCTAGGAGCTACCTGAACCCTAGGAGCCACCCGAACCCTAGGAAATACCTGAACCCTAGGAGCTACCTGAACACTAGGAGCTACCCGAACCCTACCATTCCGTTAAACCACTTGCTTTTGGAGATCGTAAAAATAAACTATTCTACCAGATCTAGTAGTCACTATAAACATTGCTGCTCTCTTAAAAATTTTGGTATAAATGAACGATTCTACTAGATGCCACTAAATGAAAACTCAGATGCTTCAAGTCACAGGGGTGACAAGAGCTCACCTACCCATTAAAACTCATGCTTTTGGTGGACGCTTTGGTACAAATGGACGATTCTACCAGATGCCACAAATTGCTTGAAAACCAATTTATGCCAGTCGCAAGGGCAGCCTTGTCCCTATCTTTCCGTTAAACCACATTAGGGATAACTGTCGTACAAATGAACCACATCTTGTAATAGTCTAAAAGCCAAAGGAATTTTTCATCCATTAACCTCGGCTGATTTCTGAGCTGTATATCTAAATGTCTAGCAAATATTTCTATCATAGAAGCTTAATCTTCAATTGAATGTTTTCCTTCAATTTTGAACTGTAATGTTTGTCTGTGAACTGAAGTGCATTTTAAAGGTTTCTAAAAAAAGAGAATGATTTGGTATTAATCTGTCTACAATCCCAATTTCTCCTGAAGCCAAAAAACTTACTTATTTTTATTTTATCTATTTTCTTTACACGATGTTCAAATAAAATTTTCAAGACGCGACTTGCAGAAAGCAGAAAAAGTTACAAGGTGATGAACGTAAATTGATTTGCATGGATTTTTAACGCTGACATTAAAGATAACCCGTTATTCATTTATTTATAGCTTTTAACTGGATGTCAACTGTGAGTTAGACTCTCGCTCGCTAACCTGAAGGTTTAAGATCGAGAGATATGCATAGGTTGAGATACACCATAGAATTTTTAATCTCGATTTCCCCTTTCCGCGATGCAAGTCGGAATGACATCTTTCGGATCTGACAAGAAGTGTAGGCTCAGTGTGCTATAGAATGTGCCATTAAAGATCCCAGTTGGAAATCGAATGCTTCCCTCATTGCGCTCCCCGAGCGCTATCGGACTTCATTATTTCAATCACATAAAAACCCTGTCAGTGATGCAGAGGGACTGACACGAAAAAAGTGTATTGTCGTTTTGATGGGATTATGAACCGAGGCCCCGTGTGCTACAGGCGGTGCACATTAAAAATCCCAGTTGGTAATCGAATGCTTCCCCCATTGCACACCGGTAGCGCTGTCGGACTTCATTATCTCAATCAGATAAAGTTAAGTAAGGTGCTAACTCTATTTCATTTCATTTTCTAATACCAATCTGTATTGTCTCCTGTGTTTTTATGAGTTATATCAAACATAATGGATACTGACGTTCTGTATAATAATAGTAAAGGAGTTTTACATCCTATAGTTTAGCACCTTTTTAGATAATGAAGATAAACATAAGAGGCTTAGAACAAAATGTCACTAGTAATTCTATAGTTTTGTTACAGATTTTGTTTCTAATGATGAAGCAATTATGGAACAGAATCCGAGTCTCAGTGTTTGTATACGTTAAAGGGATTGTACAGAGGTTTTTTCTTTAAACTTTTTATGTGTTTTTGTGACATTTGAGTCTTCTATTTGCACCATTCCAATTTCCAGTCAGACCCAATTTTCTTGGGAGAACCTTACCAGACCAGACACAGAGTTGCCGCATTTTGATCCCCTGACAAACAATGGCTCCACTACCACAGGGCCTACACCACCAGAAAAAATGCGAAAGAGCATAATTCCAGGGGCGGGACCCCAACCCACTTCCCCCAGTCCACATGCCCCCGCCCATCTAGTCGAGCCACTGTCGACAACAACAACTGGAAAGCGACAACTCCATTGACGATATAACGTATATGGACTGAGACCGGTAATTCGGACTGTTTCCATGTTAAATCATGAAATACAACCTTCTATTATTTTTTCCAGAAATCTTGTTGAAAACTTTCCAATATGTCAGATGAAAGTCTGGCCAATACTTAGTTTCTGGACAAAAATTCAACATATCATGATCATGGAAATCTTGAGCTATTCAAGCTAAAAGTAGACCACTGCATGTTATCAACACCCGCTTGACTGTCACTGCACACAAAACAAACAGTTGTCAAAAACAGGCATGCAAAAACCCCAAAGAGGGTCGGATGGTGGAAGGGGGGGGGGGGATTTCTTATAATAATACATTGGTATACAATCATTTACATACAAGGTTTTAGTGGTCTTATATTACGAGGAACTAGTAGTGCCTGAGTTGTCCGGCTGGTTTGTACCATACGTGGCTTGTTGTAAATAACCTGCGTGCTGGTGGAATGAAACAGGACGCATTTAGTTTTATTTTTGCCGTAACGTATATCCAGCGAAAGATTTTTTTGTCCATTGGCGATTCCCTTCCATCATTTTTATTTTCTATAGTCTTTGATGAAATTACTGTCTGTTATCTATTGTATGGTATTTACCTACGAAGAATACACGTCTAAAAATGTTGACTTTACATGTATCTAGACCGTCATACTGTTAGTTTAACGCACAAATTTTCTCATATTGGTGTCTTATTGTTGGTTTAACAAAGAAGTTTCTAATGTTGGTTGGATTATTGACTACAAGAAGTGTCATTATGCCAAATACTCGTTCGACACGTAACTTTCCTTCGGATTTTATTGCATTATGTCGTCAAGTATGTTTAGTTTTCACGTTTTCACTGAACACGACAGTAACCAGCAATTCACGAAACCCTCACAATACCTTTTGTTAAGTAGTCCGCTTTTACTGGAAGACTTTCCAAAAAATGTTTGACTCGCCTTACATCTTGTAGATATAATTTTTTATAGGGCTTCAGGTACATAAAGGAGGTTTCAGTTCGATCCTGCGACTGTCAGATGCTGACAACAACTGGATGACTCTTGGTAGTAAGTATCATCTAGAAGTATCTGACCAATCGCAGTAGCCACAAGTTGACACATAAATCATTTCTATTTTCTAACCTGGTCCAATCTGCTCGCCTATTTGCAGTTGTTAGAAGATGGTTAAGACGCCGATATGAGCACAAAACACTTCCGACACTGACTGGATGAAAATCGGGTGGAAAATTCTTAAGGTACCATGTCGGTATCGATTAGAGGAGCCAGCCCTGGTTTTCCAACAAACATTAGATGTACATGTTATAGTTTCACCATGGATCAATTACAACCAGAATTCTTGGTTCCGATTAGTCAGCGTCATTTCTTTTTTTACTTTACTCGTATCAGTGATACAAATTACACTTTTTAAAGAAATCAACTGAACCTTCTAGGAATATAATTCTTGAGTTGTGTCAACAAAAACTTGGGAAGGTGTTAAAACCAAATCCGTGGTAGCAATTCTTGATTGACAAGCACAGATAGTTTTTGATCTGGCCACGATGTCAGTGAAATCAGCTCGCCTTAAAAATATCATCGTAAACGAAGTAATATTTCAGAAATTTTTTTTTGAAGAATATCTATTAACAGTGATTGGTTCATCACGATCCGAAGCAACAGAAATTTTTACCCATTAAACTTCGATAGGATTGAAAGTATTTCTTTGACATTTGTCACTGATTTCCTAATCACCACTTTGACAAGTTTGCCAAAGTAAGAAGGGACACGCAAAGCTAGTCACGGGATTTTTTTTGTGGAAAAAATAAACGACAAGCATTAAGAGAAAAATAGTTAATTTCAATAATATTACCCATTATATAAGCATTAACATTTTGCGTAATGTTTACTTCCGGTTTGTTTAGTTTGGCGTTCCGGGATTTAATCCCGCTAAAGGTCGAGATAATATCAGTGTGCTACAGGCTGTGCAGGTAATAGGTCTCTCGATAGTTAGTTTGAATTCGATAAAGAAAACTATGGCTACAGTTCTGGTAATATGTTTGCTTCTTGCACATTGCATGGCGTTGGCGTTTTAATAATTTTAATAGAGCGACAACATTATCTCGAATGATGTATGATAATCTTTTCAAAATGATACTTATTGCACACTTCATGGTGTTGCAGTAGCATAAAAGGAAGTTAAACTTTGAACTTTATAGAAGCGACAACATGATCTCGATGATTCTCAGAGTTGAGTGGAAAACGAAAGACGAATACCGCTGTTCTTTCAAAATGTTGCTTATTGCACACTGCATGGCGTTAAAGGAGCAAAGAAGTAGGACGTTAAATGGCATTTAATTTATTATAATAAAGCGACAATGTGATCTTGATGGAGTATAATAAGCTCTCAGATTTTGAAAACTAGATGAAATTATACCATCAATATAGAATTAAATATCGCTTGACATTTCTAAACATCATTAGTCACCTTGTTATAGCAGACCTTTCCTAAATGAATCCTATAATTTTTGAATCTGTTTTAATTCTCAAACAATGTATCAGACGTCGTTAGATGAAATTTATTCACGCTCGGGTGGTAATAGACCACGCATCTTGAAAATGGTGTCTGCTCGCTTAAGTTATTTGACTAAAACTTCTTGGCTTGCTTAATGAAAGGAAATAGAGTTTTACGCCCTCGACCTACTTTTCTGTTCCGGGTTTGGTTTCTGGTGTAAGGCAAAGGTTGAGAATTGATTTTTCATATTTTTAAACATAGTTTCCCACCATCGTGGCGTGGTGTTTGATATAAATAAACGTCATCAAAATCTACCAGTAGATCAGGAGAATTTACAATTTTGTTCTTGCAAAATATCCCTCATTGCAAACTGCACGACGTTACTAGTCAGCCTTAGTCCATTAAGTTACGAACGACAAACAAGTATCATTTGATATAATGACGCCTGATTAAACTTTTCAGAATATCAGGAACCACGAACGTCTGACGGTAAACGGAATTATGCTGATAGATGTTTTAAATTGTCCCTGATTTACTTCCTGAGAATAGAAAAATATCTCTCTGGAAGCCCTTGAAAAGTATCTAGAATGTTTTAGTAAAATTCAACATATTGGGTAATCCACCTTTAAAATTATCTTTACTTTGCTTAAATTTTAAGTTATTCCACCTTTAAATGAA